TAACATTGTCAGAGTCTTTTGATAATTGTGTTTGTTGCAAAGTGCTCCAATTTGACGGAAATCAATTAGCGATCTGACGATGTCATATGCGGTGTATTCAGCGGTATCAGGCAGATGGACAACATCGAAAATTCAAATTGCGCTACACATTCTTGCTGGGATTCAGTAATAAATCTTCATGATTGTTTCCATAGAAACAATGAATGTCACACTCTCTCCTATTTGAAATGGTGCAACTTTTTAATGAAATTATTAAACAATTATTCTAGACGAGTAAGAAAGGTAAAATTTTCATTCTATACCCTTAAAAGGGTATGTCGTTATCATTTTTCCCACCAAAATTTTGTTATAACAATTTATATAAATTTTTATATGATTTTTTCTGGTAATAGAGCATAGACCATTAATATGCACAGACGGTATATAGAACTATTTTGTGAATGGTGACAAAGTTGACTTTAGCGTTTTTAGTAAACTAAAGAATGGAAGTTAAATCAAATTTTTGAGCATGGACACAAAATTAACATATTATTAGATACTCAATGATTATTTTAAGATTTAATATACCACACTTAATAAACATTTTTCAATATTGATGTATTTAAACACTTTGAGCAGAATATTTGTTGTGTCTAAATTATGATGCAAATCATTGCGATTTTTTTTAATCTTTTATTTTTTTGATACTTTTGGACCAAATAGACATTATTTCCTTATAGCTACAGGACTGGATAAAAAAATAATACAACACTTTTCCCAAGACCAGAGTAAGGATTCAACTGTAGATCAGCAGGAACAAATTTTACAAGAATTTTCCCCAGGTGAAACCAGGACTGACCAGGGCCGACAAATCAACGAAAATATTCAGGACAGACCATGGCCGATAAATCAACGAAAATATTCTGACAGTGTTTCAATCCGGTATCACCTTGAATAGGTCACATGTACTTACTAAATACTTTGTGTCCATTTCAAGGCAAAGCAAACCGTCAAGTATTTGCATTTCGCCTCAAAGAAAAGACACAGTTAAGACTATAATGGCATTCTTTTATCTTTTGTACTGTGCTAAAAGTCATTCTCATTCACACATGAGATCCTTGATGGAATTGTTTTTTAATAAAACAGACATGCAATCAGGATAACCTTCGCAGTCTTATTTCCAGCGTTAAGTTACTAGGATTTTTTCGTTATCGTATTCAGTTCGATAAGCTACAGTAACATCAGAAGAAGTCCAAGATAACCAGACATCAAAAAAAAAGATACATGTGTTTCCTTCTCGTTGGTCTGGGTTATCCGCGATAAGAAGCCATCTTATGTACTAATCGACAGTAAAACTAGGAAGACAGACGAGGTCTGAAAAGCATACTGTCATATGTTGCCGTTAATATAGCCAAAATTACAACAAAAACATACGACAGATACATAGATAATGATACTCATTTTCACTTTTTTATTTTTTAAAAAGAAGACTAATTCGAAAAGCATCTGGTCCCCATCAATCAGGTGTATACTCAAAACACTGACAGTCATTCACTTTTCCCATTTTTTTTATTTTATTTTAATGACTTTTATGTGTTTTCTTTCATATCGAAATGTGTGTATATTTTTTCCTAGTAGGAGCTTCATGGGGTATCACTGATGACACCACACACCACACCCCCACCCACCCCACCCCGAGACTATATGAGAAGGTTTGCTTAGTCCAATCTAAAATGAACAACTCCTGGTTGCCAAGGCAGATGTTCATTGCAGTCAACTACACAGACTTCACAGGGCCCAATAAAAAGCCAGTGAAATATGGGTTTTGAAAGTTATCCCCGTTTGACATGTGATAGGGCCACAACAAAGCACATAATAGCATACAGAAGTCATTATCAGTCATTAATACTATCCTATTACTGGTACTGGATGATGATTAATTATCTCTGTAGACTATTCTGACAGTTTCTATTCATACCCGTGGTCAGCCGCAATGCCAGTCGCTTCGCACAGATCCATTTGAATTAACAGGGTAGACTTAGTGGTGGTGTAATTTTCAAGATGGAATTACTTTTTGTTAAAACGTTTATTTATTTATCTTTGAATATTCAGAATCTGTTCTGTGATATTTGAACCACTCCACTATTAACCATATACCCTCACGACAAAACTATTCTTACAAGACAATAAAGGGCTAACAAAAACTTGTATATTTATTAAAGCTTTGCCAGCCCCCAGCTCCTCCCCCTCTTTACTTGCGTCATAATTTCTATAATGTTAGGCAACAGAAAGTTCACAGAAGATTCAAGACTTAATGGATTTCTACATTTAAAATGCAGTATATTTTGAATAGATTGAAAATGATTGTTTAAAACAAAGCTGTATATATTTAAAAAAAAACAAAAAAAAAACAACATCAAAATGTATTGCCACAGTCATCAGCATTAAAAAACCCGGCTATAGATATTTCGGGTTTAAATTGATGTGAGTAAAAGTTAAAACTGATAATTGTGATCATGTGTGCATCCTCTAATGTTTCATTAAAGTTTGCTAATAGTTTGTTGAATGAACTCAGAAATCACGGATTTATTCTCCAACCTTTTCACTAGCAGTTCCCTCTTTTCATCACAGATTCACAAAATAGTCCTATTATAGTTTACTTTCCTTCAGAAGATTAAGACAAAAACAGCCGCATTTTTTGAGTAAAAAATTCAATTTTACTAAAATTGTGTCTGTTGGCTCCATAATTTGGGTTCATTTCCAGAAATATTGATGAATATAAGAAAAAAGTGCAGAAAAATTTGGGAAAGATCTGGTGGTAAAAAAGTTAAACATATATCATTTGGCTTTCAAATTTTCGTAGGTTGAGAACCATTTTTTAGGTTTCTATGGATGTAAAAGAGAAAAAAGATGAAATACTTACAGAAATGTCAGAATTTTTGGTTTATTGACTAATTATAGCAGACTTTCCTTCAATAATGATCCCCTTAGGCTGTCAGACAGGAAGCTAGCATGTGTGGATATATCTCCACTTAACAGAAGTTCAAGTTTACGAGCAATTTCTAAGTGATAGCATCTGAAAAAGGCAGGTGAAACTTTTTTATTGGGCAATTCCAGATCTGTCGGCAACTTTTTTTTTTTCACTCTCTCTCACTCTCCCTTTCTTTGTATCTCTTCGTGGTGAATCTCTCTCGGCCATTTTATTTTTTTAACAGCAGAATTTGTTTATGCTGATAAGGTTAACTTATTGTAAAACTTTACATGTGCTTAAGATTATTTATAAATGTATTTGTACAATACATTTCCATGACAACATTACTACTGATCCTCACCTGTTAGGCAATCTTAAACCACCAACTCCAACCCCCTCTTCCCTTCCAACGAAACCCCCACAACCACCACTTCCACCCCACCCCCGTAACTGAAAATTCACAAAAGAAGAGAAACCAGTGAACTTCTGCATTGCAAACAAAATGTATATTTGTCTTTTATCTCATCTTACCCCCCTCTCCCCCTCAAATTTAAGATAACTGAAATACTAGCCCTCTAAATCCCTTCCAGAGATTACACACATCAAACAGCTGAAATCTAAAAAGACAAACCGTTGATTTAGTTTAAAAGAAAGTGTTAATTCCAGTCAAAACAATGATTAAAACAGAAAACAGTATTAATTATAAAGTCAAACACTCTCACCCAGCATGACATCGGAAATGTAATTCACAAAACAAACAGTGTTTTTAACAAAGGACAGTACTGTCCACTCACAGAGTAAACAAAGGCATGACCTTTTCACTTATCAATGTCTCACATGTCTTCTACATGCATGTCTTGTTATCTCAAATCTTAGAACTTTTTTTGTCTTCTGGACTTTTTCTCAGTCGAACAGGTACTTGTGGATTAATACAATATGTAATTTATTAGAAGTTTAGAAATTTGTAATATATGATTCTAGTACTTTTAAGGAGGATTTTGTGAGCCCAGGTTGAATAAAGTAATCGCAGATTGCCATACGCACTTACATAATTCGTCAAACAAAAATTGCATTGTTTAAAATAAGTTACATTTTAGCCATAGCAACTACAAATTTAGCAATTTTTACTCACTTGATAATAAACTAAAAAGGTATTAACCATATTAACCCGCAAAACCTGTTTTATGCACAGATCTGGAACTGAAAGTGGGGCACATGCTGAGACAGTAGAAATCCTGAATCACTATAGGAACATCCATGAGAGTACTGTAGAATACTTTATTTTAGCTGGAATTAATTTTCGCTGATTTTTGACGAGTTGAATATAAAAGATAGGAAAAATGGTATATTCATTAGATTTTATTTTCACTGAATCATTCCTTCAGCTAACTGATTCACTGACACTAACAATTTTTTATACAGGCTTTTGTCTGAAGTTTTGCAAGGCCACAGCTTGTACTCCAATATTTGCGACAGCAATATTTTTCAAGTTTAAATAGTCTTATTCTAGACATTGACCATTTTTAATGATTAATATCTGCCCGAGATATAACAATATGGGGGAAATAATATGTTCTTTTCAGTATGGTACTTTTCTTTCTTTTTTTTTTGTGATATATATATATGTATATTGGTCAGCTAAAATATAAAAAAATTGATAGAGCAGTAAGCTGTGCAATGAAATGGAGTGGGATATATAGGTTTTTATTCCCTATCAATCCATCTGTTTGTCACAATTACAAAATCTTACTTAAAATAAAACTGATGTAACCATAGAAACGCTGTGTAGAATGGATCAAATATGGACCATGTGCGTAGACGGTAACGTCAATTTCCACCGTAAACTGTTATTTGTTTTTATTATAAGAAAGGTTATGCCTAACTAACATCTTGCTAAATTATTCCAGCAGTTATACATTTTTCCGTCACTGTTTGTGTTGACTTATTTATTTGTCTGAATCAAATGTTACATTAAAGACATTACATAATGCTTGGTGATTTTGGAGAGGGGGGTGGGGGTTATCTCACTCAAAAAACAAATTCAACTTACCTCCCAGGCATACTGTGTATCTTTCACAGATACCCTCTGAAGTCCGGCGAACGGGCCAAATTTTTCCCCCACGTCTAATCTTACTTTGGTGAACACACCAAGCCCTGCACCGGCAATTCTCGACTCTCGAAGTTCAAACTTCTCTGGGAGTACCACATCTTCCGGAATGTAGACAGGTGGCTGTGATTTTTCCATCATTTCTTCGTCGTTATTGGCCATTTGCAGCGGTGACACGGCTCTGTCATATACTTCGTCTTCCATATCAGCCTGTACTTCATCAGCTGTTAGAACGAAACAGAATATAAAATATGAGAATCTTGTCTGAAGCGGACGCAACATGTGTTCCCAGTTAACGTTACAAGGTATAAAAACATTTTATTCTGACCTTTTGAAAAGCTACTACACAATTCAGTAGTAAAATCTACGTCAATGGCTGACCTACTACTGACAATCGACACAAATCCACTTTTTACTTCTTTTTTTAAATATAAGAAACTTCACAATTTAGATTCACATTTTTTTGCTGCCATTCATTGACATGCCAGGTAGTATATATAGCAGCATTTGAATTTGGGTTTTATCTTTTTTCTAGGAAGTTACAAAATGTAAACACATTCACACCCACTCTCACCCCATACATACAGCCATCATGTACAAGTGGTTTTACTGGTTTAATATTAGAAATCAAAAGTATTAACTACTTTTTGAACAGAATAATTTAATAAAAAATTGATATAAAATTCCACATATTTTACCCAAAATTATCACCTGCAAATCTGCAGAATAATTTCAGGCAATGCAAGTTTTTTCTGTTATATTTACCATTTTACACCTTAAATACGGCAAATAATTAAAAATGTTCCACACCGCTAGTTGCCATTTTGAATGAAATGTTCTAAGTTTATTGAATCTAAATCTTGATTCCAGGGCAAACCACCCAGTAGTGATATTTCTGTCATCTTAGTAAGATTTCTATAATTTGAATATTATAAATTTGAAAGTAATTTCTAGTAGCTAAAAATGTTACCCCAATAAACTTGATGAACTTGATAAAAAAAAACTTTCTAAGAGAGCTACATAATTCAGTATATTAAAATTACAGATCACTACAATGGACCAATAAAACACACTTTACCGTCATCGCTAAAACGTACCATTACAATATGACCGCAAATTATTGCATCTTGCGGCCGTACATCAAACTAAATCTGGCGGCCGTAAATTACAACAGCCAGCAGCTGAGGACAGGTACACATACTCCTTGATGATACCTAGACTAAAGCCGTCTCTTCACGGCTCCAAATTTATGGATAAACCTATATTTTCATAAAATGCCCTCATAAAGTGATATTGGCACTTGCCCTGTTACTATGCATTCAGTGATATTTACTGTCTTGTACAGCCGTTTGTAATCGCCGCTCACCGAAAGAAAGATGGCAAATAGCTGTGTAACTATAATAAAACATAAAACATCTTTCAGAACTAACTAAAAACAACTTCCGTTCAATTTTCAGTCTAGCCTTCAGATTATTTACACTGGTACTAATTAATTCATAAAAACAGTTTCCATTTCTTGATCAACACAGGAAATTGAATAATTATTTATTCTTCCAGAAAGAAAGAAAATGGGTCGTAATTGCTCTGATGGAATCAAGCTCTACCCATCAGTGTTTGTTTAAAACACACCTTTAAAAACTCACTGAAAACTCATTTCCTGAGGAATTTGGCACGTCATTAAATTGCCCCAATTTAAAGGTGAATTTTTATTAGTATGACACTGGGAATTATGATATAACCTTCAAGATAAATATCATATTTCATTCTTGTATTTTTATTTTAGTTTATTTTATATGTTTTTTAAAATCATTTTCAATTTTCAGTACCTTTAAAAAAGTAGCGTTTTTTACCTTTTGAGTGAACGACGAAGTTGAATTTTTTTACTTTTCTCTAAATATATATATATATATACAAATGTTGATCAAGACCTGCCCTATAACCAATTATGTTTATTTGTTCTAAAATGAACAAAGATATTATAGAAAAACAAAAAAAAGATATGAAAAATGTTGCATCACATATTTGGTTAAAAAAATGTATCCACTCAATGGGTTAAAAACTGTTGCCATTTTTACATTATTAAAATTAATAAAAAATTGTCATATTGGTAATTTTTGCAGATGCGCTTGAATAAATAAATAATAATAAATAACAGTAAATGCAGAACAAACCTAAAATTGCTCAAATTTTTTGTTCATTTTAGAGTATTTCAGCCAAGAAAGTGTTTGCACATTCCAAATACCAATCATGCTTTTTTGGTCAAAAAGATCAAAATAAAAAAGCAACACTTTTTTTAAGTTATATCTGATCACTTTGCAGTTGTTTTTGATTTTATTTTAATTTAAAAAAACAAAAACATTGAAGCTTTTCAACCTGACACTTCATGCCTAATAGATGATCTTTTTACACTCCTGAAAAGACTTCGTTTTCCTAGAGTAAACAGACGTACATATAAATTTTTTTTAAATAAATACTCCCTTTTACTTCCACATCATTAATTTGCTTCCCATCTGAATCAAAAGCCACATATTGTGGTTGCTATGACAATGGTAGAACATATGGATATTTTTTTCAAGATTTTGAAGTTAGAATGCAAAAAAAGGAGTGTTGTACAGTTGTAGTTAACTGTTTCACCACCAGACTTTCTCGCCCAAATTTTTCTGCACTTTTATCTTATATTCTTCAATATTTCTGGAAAAGAACCCTCATTTGAGTCAATTTTCAGTTTTTACTCACAAAATTCAGCTATTTTTGTCCAAATCTTCTGAAGGAAAGTGCAGACTATGAACAGAACTATTTTGTGGATTTGTAATGAAAAGAGGGAACTGGTGGTGAAAAAGTTAATACAGGACTTCTTAGACACATAGTTAGCACATACGCTTGCATAGACACCGTATGCCAGTCGTCCCAGAAATCTTTTTATGTCTTTCTGGCTAATTATATTTCAATGAAAAAAAACAAAACTATTTACCAAAAAATATGGTCTGCATAAAGCTACAGAAGAAGAGAATAAAAAACTATTGTTGCAATTCGGATACCGTCTGCTGTAAACAGGATTGCAATAAATTTTCTATCTTGGCCGAACAGATGCCTTACGATAACAAGAAAGTGTATTGCTTCAAAAAAAAAATATGGCGACAATTGGGTTGCAGTCAAAAATATTGAAAAAACCAAGCAATGTACGGTACTGTTAATTACATTTTAATCAAGACGCTATAATGAGTATATCGTTATTATAATAGAAATGAAATGACCGCAGCACAATAAACATTATGCTGATAACCATACACTCTACTTACTCATACAGGATGACTGCCATATTGCGCCTTTTCCTAAATGATTTCTAGTTGCATACACAAAGAAAAGTAGTCCGAAAGAATGGGGAAGCGAAGAAAAGAATGCAAACGACAGCAGGAAAAGCTACTGCCACGTGTCATCTATTTAGAAAGTGAGAGTCTTTGTTCAAGAAAACTAACATTTACCATGTTGAGTGAAAACCGGAATTTCAGTAATTTTTGACGAGGCCACAGACAACTGGGTATAAGAGTTAATTTGTTTGCAAACTGAACAGCTAACACAAAAGACTCGAGTTTCGGGTTTGAAAATAAGCAAGCAAAATAGTTGAAGTGCCGCAATTCTCTGAGTGGTGTAATGAAAATAAACAACGAAGCTTTTTTTTTTTTTTTTTCGCTACTTTTCAAAACAAAATTATATGGCTGCTTGAAGATAAGAATGATTTGTCAGTGAGTAGAATTACTGTCACTGTTCTTGTGTTTAAAATTTTTAAAATATAAATGAATCATGTCCATTATTTCCACAATCAGCAGTTTGGGACACACCCCTGCCCCACTGGAGGGGGGGGGGGGGTCCTTAATTCCTAATTATTATTTAACATCCTGAATAAAGGAATCTTGAATAAAGTGGTTACTTTGATGACTTTCCCATCAACTTGACTTCAACAAAATCTGGCCTATAATCGGAAATAAAATTCAGTTGTCTTACATAAAAACATTATGATTAATTACACCCTGGAAAAACAAAAAAACAAAAACTATTTCACGTTTCTTGTAAATTTTTTTCTAAAATCGATTCAAAACCTTTTTTTTTTTATTTTAAAAGGTAATTAAAAGTGCTTTAAATTCAAGTTTAAATCTTTTTTCTTTTCTTCTATCGAAAAAAAAATTAAAAAAAGATGTGATGCTCAGTTTTACTTGCCGTGTGCGATGACAAAAAACAATTATTTTATTTTGGAAAAAGTGAAGACAACAAAATCTAAGAGCAAGAACATTCAATAGATTTGAGTTTTTTTTTTTTCATAGATGCGAACACTATCACAGGTTAGGAGTGTCATTTTCGCTTCTTATTCAAAAACTACAGAAATCAGATACATATACTTCTAGTTGAAGGAAATAGAAAGTCAGAGGTCGGGGATGGATTTTCCCGCATGAAAAGATACGGAATTTGGATAAACACTTATCTGTAACATTCGGAGCACCGCTAGAGATTCCAATTTGACCGGCTCTTAAAATCAGTTTTACCACACCAGTAAGCGTACCTAATACCTCCGCTATTAGCAATTCTTAAAATTTAAAACTTGTCAAAAATGTTAGAAAGCAAGCTATGTAATATCTCTACAGGTATGTGGCATACTTCTTCAAAACTGTACGCTTACTAATTTATAACCTATCCCATAATTACTCAAGACAAACATGTGTTTCAGGCTTTCTTGTAAATGTTTCAGACAGAGAAAAAAGTAAAATGGTTTCTAATCAATCTGTTTTTAAAAATCCATGAGTGCAGATTTTTTTTTTTTCGTTTTTAACCGTCAAGAAAATTTTTCGCTTTTACTGTAATTTTCATGACATTCAAATTTTTCATTCATTTATGTTCAATTCCTTCTTATTTTCTGTGTTTAGACAGATACTAATACTTTAAATGCCATCATTTTTCCAACCCAAATTTTGGTGAAATATTTTGCAAAATTGTGTATAATTTTCTATAATTTTGTTGTTGATTTTGAAACAAATGGACACAACTTTCTGCTGCCTACAGGTGTATATAATTTTGAAATAAAATATTGGGGTCTATTTAGTAACAGGTGACAAAAACTGACTTGAGAATGTTTTCTTAATAGTAACATTTTTGTTGAAGTTATGTTATCACTGTGTTAATTTGTAATTTATACTGCCCCTGTTAATTTAAATAGTAAACCACTGACTCAAAA